GGGGGGGGGGGGGGGGGGTGATGTAAGCAACTCTGGCCTCCACTTGGGGTTGCTGTGTTGCACACTAAAGTTGGTCACTGCTGATGGTGGTGGCGGGAGGGGAGAGAATGGTGTGTCCCTGCCCTCTCATCCTTAGAGCAAGGAGTTCATGCCTGCTACCTCTTACTGCTACTCTCCCCTCTCTTCCGTCAGATCCCTGGCTTCAGTGAGCTGTCTGCCTGCCTGTTTTTTTTTTGTTTGTTTGTTTTGTTTTGTTTTGTTTTTATCTCAGGTGTGTTGTTGTGTTTCAAAACTCCAAATCTTGGGGACCCACGATGCAGACCCGCACTGATCCTCTGGGAGAGGGTCTGGTTACACGTTTGTTGTTTCCTGGTTTGTCCCAGAAAAGTGGTTCCACCTCAGTGCAGCAGTTCAGAGTTTATGGTAAAACACAACACAAAGCCAGCAAAGGTTTGTTTCCCTCAGCCAGTGTCTTTCTTCCTATACTAGGAAACAGGGCAGCAGGTTGACATCACCAGTTCTTTTTGTCCCTGGAGAGGCCATGTCAGCACTCGCAAATGTACTCCAAACAGGGGAACTATTTCTCCCCAGGGGGCTCAGGAGATCCTCAGACCATACTGCCTGCTTCCAGGTCTCTGCCAAGCCCACCAGGCATGACCCTGGTGATGGTGTGGACTTCTAAAACTTCAGACTTCCAGCTCTGCTGCTTATAACTTGTAGTATTCAGCCCCTCTCCTTTTTCCAGTCAGTGGTTTTGGGAAAAAGTTTTTCTTGTGCAATTTCCCCATGTACTTTTACTCTCTTTACCTCTCTCTTGCTCCTCTCTCTCTGATAAGGGCTCCCTTCCCTCCACAGCACTCGCAATTCTTTTCTTCCCCAAATTAACTCTCCATAACTCCCGTCTTCCACAATGTGCCATTTTTTTCTATCTCTAGTTGTTGCAGTTTTACTCTCAGTCCTTGGATCAATTTCTTGGGTGTTCAAAAGGAATTGATATTTATCTAGGTGTATTTGAGGGATGAAGCAAGCCTAAGGCCCCCTACTCCTCTGCCATCTTAATCTTCTCATTCTGCTATACTCTTATTTTAAAAATGTTTCTTGTATTACATTCTACTTTAAATAGATGTATATTCTACAATATTTTCAATGGTTTGTCAATGGTACCATACAATGAGGAAGCAAATTTTAAGATTATGAGAGTAAATCATATTCAACTAACAGATCGTGAACTTCTAATATTTCTTGCAAATGTCATGTTCAGAAAGAAATTTAAAGTCCACATAATCTGGTAGGTTCTATATATTTGTTGTATAAATTGATGGCCCTGGCTCCCTGGAACTCTCTCTTTCTGCATTTTCTAAGACTCTACAGTCTCTTCGTTTTCCTGTCACTCTGTCCACATTTCATGTTCCTAAGCAGGGACCTTCTTGTGAATTACCTGAGAAAATGTCTTTGATTCTCTTCTCTCTCAACACATTTCTTCTCTGACAGCCTTCAGAATCATTTCCTCATCATCTAGGGGATAACTGTTCTCAAACTTCTGTCTTCATCTCTAAGGCTGTATATCAAACTCTCCAGTCGATCTCCATCTCATTGTGTCCTTGTCAATTAATATCACCAAATAGGTTAGGCCAAAAATAGGGGCCTTTCTGAAATTTTCCTTTCACTATATTCTTATATAAAATTGCCAAACCCTATTGATTCTACTTCTTAGGCTATGACACCCTCAGTGTGTCACTTTCCTATCTTAGTTCAGGCCCATCATCTCTTACTCCTCTCAATGCCTTGCAGGTGACACATTGCCAACAAATAGATTTTCTAAAGTGTAAACCACATCTCTTCTCTTTTCATTATGGTTCTTCAGTGGTTTATCATTTCTTAGAGATTAACATCCAATCATTTAGCATGGCATTTTAAAAAACTATTATGATAAAAACTCAACCTGCCATGTTTCCTCTCACACACACATGAACTGATTTCTATTCCATGAGCAAAGAAAGACATGATCTTCTATACCTCCCTGCCTTTGCATAAGCTGTTTTGTGGTGGCGGTGGTGGGATAGTAAACTAGCCCACTCTAAATTTCTGCACATCCTTTAAGTCACAAATTGATGACTTGTAGAAATAAGGAATTTACTTTTTCCCAAGGCAGCCCATTCAACATCATCTAGAGCTGACACCATTAGAGTTATTCCTTGCCCTTAATTGTACTCCTTGTGGTCATGCAGAACAAGTCTAATGTTTTTCTTTTATGTGATAGGTCTTCAAATAATTTAAAACATGTTACTCCTAGTGCTTCTGTTCTCTGACGTAACTATCCACAAAATCCTTTAGATAAGCCTTTTTTTTCCCCTAGCCCACTAAAAGTTAGCATCCAGAACTTTATCATGGTCAGACATGATCTCTGGGGTACACAGTAGAGTGAAGCTTGACTCCGCTCTTTGTATTATGCACACCTCACATTATTCACAAGTGGATTGCTCAGCAGAGAGCCGGGATTCATGCTCATCCTAGAGAAAACTGGGAATTAGGCCACAGTTTTGTTTTCTTATGCAATCTCTGCACCAGTCATAAAGCATGTGAAATTCTGAGCCTGTGGGAAAATTACCTTTTATTTCTCAGCTGTATCTTCATCCTGTTGGCCAAAGTAAGAAAATGAAATTGGATCTGAAATCACTGATTAAGAGTTGTAGATTCCATGTAAATTGTATGAAGAGTAGAGAAGAGAAAGAAGTATGGGGGATGTATACAGTGAAGATTATCTATGGTTTTTGACAGAGCTGTCACCCACTATGGGAAAAGGAGAAGGCATAGAACCCCCACTAGGTAGGGTGCCTTGGAGAGGAGAACAGAATATTCAAGTCCTTTGAGGTAGTGTTCTTCATTTATTAAGGCACTACAGATAACCAAAAACAGTCTTGCCTCTCTGAGGGATAGTTACCTCTGAACAAACATCAAGCTCTTCCATATTAAAAATGTATCCCTCACAGAAGTTTAATCCTCAGATAAGAGAGAGGGATGTGGTCCTCACCACTTAATTCACAGGACATAAGCAAGAACCTAAGGATGTACCTCATAGCTGCTAACGAACCTGTACCATGTCCCAACTTAATTCTATTACCATGTGTGAACATTCACAATTAATGTTAAGATTATAATCACAATATTCAGAATAACACCTACAAATAAACGCTTGGCTCAAATACTATAGAAGTAGTTAAATCTTAAAGGAACTTCACGTATTCATATGTTGCCCATTTTTCATTTTAATTATAAAACTATAGGCCTGATTTTGGAAATATAGCCCTGATGATATGTATTTTTAAGTCTTTGCGTTAATTTCCAATAACTCTCTAAAGAAATACCAAGAGAGACACTTCTGGCCCTATTAGATTATTCTTAAGTAAGCAGCTCTTAAATTTAAAACACCAGGTTTAAATGTTACTTTTACCAGTGCTGCTACATGGACACTAGCTTGTTTTCTTACCGACCTTTGGATTCATTATCTAATTGAGGGGGAAAAGTCCTTCAGTATATTAATCCATTTCTGTCCGCATCTCTTTTAAAAAAAATATTATAGTAATTATATAGTCCCTTATATACTTTTCCAAATGTCCCTACTATTTGAAATTTTAAATCTTTTGTGATATTAAGGTCACTCAATGTGTGTATTTCTTACTATAGTAAAAACTTTTTACCTACTCTTCTTAATACATATCAAGTTCAAGATGTTCTACTGTATTTATTTCCATTAATTAAAGGACTTAGACTTAGCAGTATTAATGCAAAACATAAGACATGCTCTGCCTACAATCGTCTCCATCTCCCCTACTGGCAACTTCGTCATTCTGCGTGCTCAGGACAAACATTTCAGTCAGTCGTGATAGGCCTCTGTTACCCTTCCAATCCTAAACTTAAGCCTCGCTCACTGCACTCCAGCCACACAAGCACCACTGCTGTCCCTTGAATGTGATATTCCCACAGCAGGTCCCAGGTCGGGTCCTTTGTACCTGTTCTTCTCTTTACCTGGAAAACCTGTCCTCTAGGTAGCCATGTGCCCCATTCCCTCACCTCCTCCAGGACCTCAGTGAAACATGCAAACTTCCTCCTCTGAACTCTCCATTTTCTTCCATGGCACTTATCACCATCTACCATACTATCTACTTCACCTACTTATTGTCTCTCTCTGCATGATAGGTAAATTCTAAAGATGGACCCCCAAGGGTACTGTCCCCTAGTTACTGAAATAACTTTGTAAGGGACTTTGTAAGCTCTCTAAAGTTGCTAAACAGCTGACCTTAACATAGGGAGATCATCTGGGTTATCTGTGTGGAGCCAATGTAATTATACCTGGCCCTCAGAAGCAGAAAAGTAAGGCAGAAGACATATGGGGGCCAGAGAGATTCAAGGTATGAGAAAGACTCCATATGCAGTGGCTGGTTTGAAAATGAATGAGTGTGATGAGGAAAGCAGGCATTCTGACTGAGGTGAGAGAGGCTCCCTAATGACAACTACTAGGAGAACAGAAACCTCATTCCTGCTTGTACAAGGAACCAAATACTGTCAACATCCTGAATGAGCCTAGAAGCAGAGTCTCCCTAGAACCTCCAGACAGAAACACAGCCCTGCTGTGAAAAGATGAAACACATCCTGCAATTTCAGCCTTGTGAAACCCAGAGCCGATAAATAACTGAACCATGCCGTGCTGAGTCTTACCAACAGAGAATAAATGAATGTTACGGTAAGTCACTACATTTGCTAAGGGTGCAATAGAAAACTAGTATACCCTATTAGAATATAAGCTTTATGAGGGCACGGATTCCCATCTGGGATTTTTTTTCCATGCTGTGTGGCAGAGCCTAGAATAGCACCTCACAACAATAAATACTTGTTGAATGAATGAATATACACAGTATATGCATTCTTTCCCATGAAATCTGTATTTTACAAGATGATAACATTTTTTGACCCCAAAACATTGAATGAAAATATTTAAAACTAAAATGTAAAAGGTGGATTGATTTGAAAACTGTTTAATCAGTAGTCTGTATCTCTGCAAGTTAGTGGCGACTGGTTGCCACTTCCTAAAGCACTGGTTTTCAAAATGCATATCCTAACAGGTCATAAAATCAAATTATGGGGTTGAGATAGGTAGGAAGAAAATAAAACCAAAAAATTAGAACTTTAACTTCAGTGTGGGATGTATGAGTGTGTGTATTCTGGATCGCACTGTAGGATGTATTTCTTACTGTAGAAATGTACCGGCAAAATAATTGGAAAACAACAGCCCTAAAGGTCACTGCACTCTGTGCTGTGGACCAGGATGCAATTTAGGGCCTGACCAGAGGTGAGATGAAGACAAATGAATGGTGAATGTGTCTGTTACAAAAGAGTTGA